GGCCCTATAGCTGTACTGAGCAGGAAAGCACAGCTCTCTGCTGAAGCACAGCAGTGCCCAGTAGAGAGAGCCTGATTTACACCAGCTGAGGATCTGATTGTTGCTTTTGAGCCATCGTAATTGCTTAAGTGAAACAGCCAAAGTAATTGGTGCAAACTAATACAACTGATGGAAAAAGATTCAGTGTTTGTCAATACCAACTAGGCTATGGAGAACCTAATCAATGAATTAGTCTGTCAGTTAATTAGTCTAGGCAGAAAATGACTCCCTGTACTGTTAGTCCATGAAAAGATCAATGAAGTCAAATGTCTGGTTTAATGTTTCTCACGTAATGATTATATTATGAGACGAAGACTAAAAAACAATGTTTATATAGATTCAATTAAAAATTTTAAGTGTTCAGTTTGTAAAAAGATACATGGCTTTTCATGTTACATGTTAAGATACAAAATCATCAGGATTTTAAAGCAGTAAAGTCTTCCTGCATTTTAAAGCTACATTTTCAAGTGGCTGATATTTCTACGAGAAAATTACAAAGGGATATAAGGATTCATGGAGGCTGAGCAACCAATTTGTTGGTTCTTCTATGTGAGAAATTGTGGCAAGAACATTTGACTCTAGGCCAGATCCTTCATTTTGGCAGGGGCTCCACTGAGCTCCCTCTCTGTGATGACTCTGGCAGTTCACAGCTGTTGTTGTGTCAGCATTAGAAACACATTGGGTGGAAAACTGAGAAATGAACCTTTTTCTCTTTTAATTGGCTGTAGTCTTATTATTTCTGCTAAGTGTGGCCTGGTCAACCACACTTTGAATTTTGCATATTTATAATTAACTTTACAGTGGAAATAAGCAAACACATCTTGTCTTAGAGTCTTGTAAAGTCCCTAATTATGAAGCATTTTAAATCTGGCAGTTTGCCTTGTAAAGTGAAAGAGAAGTAGCCTTTTGTGCTTCTGTGCATACACCCACTTGTAGGTAACAATATTTCAAAGTTTGCATTTCATTAAAATTAAAAATAAAAAATAGAGTTGTGGATATCACCTGTATAAAGTGCAGGAAGTAAAATCATGTGGAGATAGAGGAAGTGGTTGGCAATTAGCTAGACCTGGTGAAAACAGGTTTTGTTAAGGGGAAGTAAAAAAAGTTCCGATTACCTAAAAATGAGAATTTACTGAATGACTCTACAAAGGAAAAAATACTGTGGTAATACCAAGTGCTAATAATGTGCTGTAATGAATACTAAACATGGGGCAAATATCAAAACAAGGGAATCTACAGTCAGTGAATAATTACTCTTTTGAGTTGATCTGGACTTTGGTGAGCGTGTAGATTACTTTTAATGTTGAACATAACCTTTTATGTTTTTCAGTCTGTTTCCAGACTACAATTCTGTCTTTAAAAGCTTCATCTTCTACAGAACAATAATGTGTTACTTCATGTTTAATATTCCAGTATATTTTTTCTATTAAAAATAGATTAAATTTTAAGTAACTCATGATGATATGTTCAATAAGAGCTTGCTAGATGAAAAATTAATGCTTCTGTTTTGAAGGGATTAACTGAACTGTCCAGAATAAAATTTAAATGTGCCTTCTCTTCACAGGTTCAGCATAACCTACCCAAAACTATAGCTCATACACACTTAAGGTATCAAAAATAAAATAATGGCTTGCTTTCCTGCAGAAAAAGGTCACTTCTAAAATGCTGCCCAAGGAGTTATAGGAGGCACATGTTCACACAACTTCTGTCCTCCCGAATGTGAAGTTTAGAAGCAGAAGATCCCCACCTTGCTGCCACTGAGCTGTGAGTTCCTCCTCTTTAAGTGGACTCTACATTCAGAAAGTTCTTTCTTTTAGCACCCCTGTGCTTAAACATCACAACATTGGTACCTCTTTACAGAAGGTGTTTGGAGCCTGCAGAACAGCCTTCCAGCAGATGAGGAATTGATGTCATGGCAAATGGGTATATTAAACTTGTGTTTCATCTGGACAGCCATTCTGGAACTGAGCAGGTAGGCATCACACAGACAATATTTTTCCCCCAAACTCACTACACACTGCTAATGTCATGTCCCTAAAATGCAATCTTGCCTCACGTTTTGACTCAGAACTGAAGGTAAACAACAGATGACTACTCCTAATTCAAGTCTTTTTCAATCAAGACCAATGCAACAATGCACAGGGTTCCTGCTAATGAACATTTACAAGCTAACAAATATGCCTGCAAGTTTTCAGGTAGCCTCAATATCCCACAGCTCTTGCTGCAAAGTTATTTAAAGGCTGAGACTTTCTTGAGTGTGAAGGAATTGGGTCCTTCAAGGTAAAACTCAGAAAACTCTCAACTCCATGAAGTTGCAGAAGATGCTCAGATTTAGGGATCAGCCTCTCATTATGAGTAGCATCTCCTAAAGAGTAACCAATATTGCTACCAGATCCTTAATTCACAGTATCACTAATCCTAATGTGGATTATCTGGCAAAGCTTTTAACTGGGTGTTCAAGCCCTGGTGAGGGCACCACTGTTTCTTAATAACCTGTATGTTCTGATGCAGCTAAAGATGCACCACACCTGTATCTGTCTGCCAGGAAACTGGTTGTAGGCGACACCAGTCTTTATGCTTACAGTTCTGGAGACATTCACAAGGCCTAACATGCATGCTCAGGCAAGAAGTTTTTTTCCAAAACTTTTATCAACTGCCAAATGAAAAGGAGATGTTCTTCTGGAGTGTGAATCCCAGTAAAGAACTAACCAAATGTGCTCTCAAGTCTGTCAGGGAGGAAGGCAATCACCCATCTCCCCCTAGCACACGAACACATCTATTTGGCTTTTCTGGAGAAAGAGATACTCCTCGTGTGAGAAAAGAGGTCCCACGAGGACTCATGCAGCACATTAATGAAAAATACGGGTTTCGCTTTTAATGCTTGGACTGGGAAATTCCACTCCATAGAACAGTGCTGCTCCACTGGATCTGAGCAATTATGGAGGTGGTTCAAGAAGCAGCACAAAGGCACTTTGCTGCTTAAAGCTTCTCGCTTTTAAAGGCAGCCTGTGGCAGCTGCAAACTTGCCAGATTAAAGCAGAAGTATATGATAACCAGAAGAGATTAGACCAGCACTTTACCTGTTTCAGGATGTCTCTCCAGTGCTATTGCAATGAGGATGCACTGGAAGAGACAGGGATCTCACACTTAATTTATGAAACATTTTCAGTCAGTCTTCATATTAATATAGCACTTGTGCCCCGTTTATGATCAGGGACCAACTTGTGCTTGGCATGGGTTCATGGTCCTAAGAGTTTACACCTAAATGTCAGCACACGGGGAGAGGGCAGGAGGAGATACGGGCAGCACAATAGCCCATAGTCTAAGCATGCCATCTCTCAAAACATCTCTTTTTTTTTTTCTTTTTTTTTAATTTAATAGGCAAAAGAGGGTTTTAGGAAGGAATTTGAAGAACATCAAAGCAACTTCACTGCTGTTTACAAGGAAGCTTTCTGCAACCTGAGGGGCCGGCTGGCCGAAACCATGAAGGTGCTTGTTTTTTTAAACACCGCAGTAAGGTGGTTCGTCAGTTTTTCGAGTTATTGGACTTGCGGGAGAAACTTTCTGATATTTAAGATTTTTTATTTTGTGGAGTTGGAGAGAATTTAATGCTTTTGTTTAAATTTGAAAGGTTTTAGAGACTACATAAATCAACAAATGCAACACCTCATCCTTTTTGAATAATTTGCTCATTTAAGCTGAATGTGAGGCAGATATGCTTGGTACTACCAGCCAATTTCATGTATCTGTATAATAAAGGACTGACAAGAGTAAGTAAGCCCAAAGGGCATCATAGCCAGGCTCTGGCTTCACATTAGAGTTCAAGACCTCCCTGGAAAGTGCCTGGTCACCAAGTTTCCACTTTTCAAGCCCCAAGCTTCCACACCCGCTCACACGAGATACAGACCTGTAGCCAGGTCAGCTGGGGATTTGCTCATGTTCAAGTCCACCTGGAAGCTACTGAGGAGGGCAGAAGCAGCTGCAGAGCAGGGGGGGCAGGTGCTGCTGCCTGCAGAGCAGGTTTCTTATATAGTTCCCTACATGTGGCCCAGTGGGAGCAGCGGATCAAGGACGCCCTCCAAATCTGACTGGGAGCAAGCAGTGTTACTGCACAGAAGCTTATAAGGCTGGCACAGGTTTTCAGGGTGGATTCTTACTCGTGCTGAGTAAATCCCCAAAGGCTGCAGATTCCAATAAATGACTAAAAGTTCTAATGCTTGTCAGAGTCTTATTATCCCAATGATCCACATCTGTTGGTTCAGCAAAATGGAGGCTAGAAATGTCATGAGAATAGAATCTCTCCACAGAGCCCCATAATTCTGCTTCCAGTCCCCTGGGGCAGCAGGAAGAACTGAGGTGAATAAAAATGGAAAATATTATTCATACAGGGAGAAATTTCTGTGTGTAATCACGTAAGCTGTGCATAGAATGTCATTCTTGACTTTGAACCTGCAAAACATTTGCCTTATGTTTGCCTTGGTTTTAGTTTGTGTTTTGGACTGAGATGCATGTCAGTTCTTTCTCCCCACTCTAGTTCTTGCAGAAATAATAAGCTTTAGAGATTGTCCAGCATGCTTCAGCAGGCACCACGCTAACGTTCCCTGCACTGGACCATGACCGTATGTACCTGACGGGCTGTCTGTTTATTTTCCTTTTCCAATGTCAGGCAGTGTCGCCGTGTCTCTGATACAAGTGATTTCATTGACTTAATAGCTGATTGTACCACGGAAGTATGCAGTAGCCTAAGAGGTAGTTTCTAATAATGATGTTTTGCAGAGTCCAGCTGGTGTCTTCAATGTGCTCAGCTACCATGTGCTTTCAGCTGTCCTGCAGTCCTCTTCGTGCGCTCCCAGTCCCATTGCCTGCCAAGAGGAGAAGCTTCACGAAGGAGTTGCTGTGCGGTGCCACTGAACTGTGGCGTCTTTGAGGCACTGCTCTGTGCCCCTGGGAGTTGGTGGGGTACTAAATAGTGCATTGAGCCGCGTTCCTGAAAAGCAAGCGGGACCTAACAGCTCTCACACAAGCAGTCCTCAGGACTTGTAGGTAAAAAGATGAACCCACTTCATCCCACTCCATGTTAGGATGATGTTTCATCTCCTAAATCAGCTCTTCAGTATCCTGTTGCTATAGGAAAAAACACAGATTATGTAACTGCTTATTTTTCATGTATTTCCTGAATTGAACTCAGTCTGTGTTGAACTAGACAATATTCATTGGGAAGACATGGAAAGGAAATTTCTGTAAGGAGAAATTTGCTTATAGTTGATATGAAAATAGTTAAGTTAGGCTGTGCTTAGTGACTCATGCAAAACTCTTGAAGAGTCAATTAGACACACACACAAACTAACGAACTGCAAAAAGAAAAAAAGGCTTCCCTCCATTAAATGCCTCTCTGTAATCATCAATATTCTTAAAAAGTGTAATGATTTCTTATCAGTGCTTGAATGAACCGTAAAACTACCTTTTGAAATATTGACATTTCCACAATTTTGAACACAAGAATGTTTTCCCTTCCATATGGAAGTTTACAGGCCATTGTCTTGAAGTTTATTTCTTGAAGTTTATTTTGTCTTGAAGTTTTTGTTCCTATTGGGTATCATACTGTAATAATGCAAATAAGAAAAATGAGTAACCTTGCTTTTTTCCTCAACAGGTTGTATCAGGTTGCTCCTTTGTTTCATATATTTTAGATTTTGAACAAAGGCTTAATCAAGGCATTCTTCATGTGAGGTGTTTTCTACAGGTATTAGATATCTTGGCCTTTGAAATTGAAATCAGACGTTTTCTGCTGTTTATGTTTGCTTTTTATGAGGATGGTTTATCAACATCTGATCTAAGGGATGATCTTCAGCTGGAGCAAGTCACTGTAGCTCAGTTAACATCAATGAACTGCACTGGTTTTACATATCCAAAAGTCAGGCCTCTGCAACACCTAATATCACAAAGGAAACTCTTAAAAACAAGGTAAGCTATTGATAAAAACAAGGTAAGCTATTGATAAAACCTGCGATGTGTATGTTGTACTGAGTTTTGTTATTGTGCAGTAGATTGTAATTACGATCTTTTCCAGAACTAATGTCTACAGCTAACTGCAGAAGCGTCCGTGGAATCATTTTTCCATGAGAAAATACTCTGCTATCAAGTCTGAAACTCTGCAGAGTGAGAGGCTGACTTCTTCAAAGTCCCAAATCAGACAGAAAGGAATAGGCGGATGAGGGAAATTTCAGATATGTCAAGCAGATTGATATTTGTGGAGTAGAGCATTTCAATTTTTGCATTTGAAAATTCTCCTTTGTGTATCTTTTAATACTGTATTGAATTCTATATGAGAAGACAATTTAAAAATGTAAAGTGTCAGAAGAAAGCATTTGAAGAGATGTAAAGCATTTCTTTTCAAAATTTACTTTCATTTTGAAAGAAAAGTGCATTTTGAATCCTCCAAGTCTTCTCTGCAGTAGAATTTTACCTCCCCAGTCTGCTCTGTTAATGACACGAAATTGGCTCCCTTTTTTGTTTAGGCACAGAGCTGTTGGTCGCTGATGTCTTCCTGGGGACAGTCTCTGTGACAGCCAAGGAACTAGGAATCTCCCGATGCCGTTATAACTTCTTCCTGCCCCCGTGCCAGAGTTCATGGAGCCCGTGAAGGTAACACTGTAGTTGCTTGTCGGGCCACCTTGCAAACCAAATTACTGAAATAATGGTCAGATAAATAATATGTATTTTTTTCAATGTGTAATCACAGAAAACAGTGAATGTCTTAGACATACGTTAGTGGTCCCATTGTTGCCACCTTGGCTGGAATTTCCCTAGTAGAAAAAATATTTTTGAGGATAAAAATAGCTAGTGCAGACACATCTGTGTGTTTCTCATCTAGTTTGGACTAAGGAAATGTGCCAGTTATCTGAAATCCTTGTTTAATTGTAAGCATACCTTTATCTCTAGTTTGCCTATAACTACATGACAGGAAAATGCAAATCTTTCACTATGCTACAATTTAACAGCAGGTTTCACTGAAGCCTTACAATATTTATTAGGTCTTTTATTTATTGTCAGTTGCTTCCTTTTAAATACAGCATGGACACACACTGACACCTACACTGTATTTTGCTTATAACAGTAGGTGCAGATCATTTTCCTAAACCAGTAAAAAGGATTTTAAAAGGTGCTTGTCAGCTGCAAAGCTTTTTGTTGTCCAGTGTCAGCCACTGGAAATTATGTACAAACTAAAGTCAATGGAACAAAAGTTAATTATCCAGTATGGCTATTGTTATTATGTAGAGGAGCCAGCTCTTATTGATTAATGAGTCAGTGCCATGTTTGCTCACAGGAATATTAATATCTTGTGCACAAGAGAAGTCATTAAAATGAGCAAGGAAGACCTTGACTTTAAACTTAAAGTGCACATTGCTCTAGTTATCTGAATGATTTTGTCAGGTATAGCATCAGAGTTATAAATTATTGAAACAAGTAGTTATTGTAAAGATTGTGCACAAAGTCTGTTTTAAGCAAGTCGATACACTTCTCCCATTATGTTTTGCACAGCTAAAATTAGGACGATTTAAATAGGTGGAAAAAGGGAGGAGGAGCTGGGGGAAGTGAGTTGGAAATGGGAAATTTGAATGGAATTTGAGTGGGAAAATTGGAAATGACCCTGGTATGTGGGTCTTTGGCTCACCTAATCCCTCCCAGTATGAGCAGGGTAACACAGTGACAGTGCTGAGCTGAGAGGAAGCGTGGTTGTCGCAGGCATGCAGCATGGGTCAAGATCACTCATAAAACTGACCATATAGTGTTGCAAATGGCCTGCTAATAGTTAACAAGTAGGTTTTTAAAGCATATTTTTAAATCTGAGTCTAAAACATTACTTTTCCTAGTATTCCCAAAGCAACCAAATTATGCACTGGAAAACCTGCATTACTATTTTATGAAAATGTATGTTACAGCAGTATGAGTATAATAACACTTTACTGCAAATACAGTTACACTTGTTTTTAAATCACACTCAAACCTGAAACTTAAATAGTCAGCTTGGATCTGCAAAGCTGAGACCTGGTACTCATTTATACTAAGGCCACTGTACATCACTCTGACAGAGTAAAGGGATATTTAAGTTGCACCTAATTCACCTTTCTGTTACTTATCAACAGCCTAAAGACTTGGTATAAATGAGAATCAGATATGTAGCTTATCAAGGGAAAATATTAGCAGGGAATATAATTTAATTATAGAAATAAGATAAATAAGGGTAACATAAACAGTCTGTGCTAAGGGTAGTACAGGGTAGACTGAAGAGCAATCAGTTTAAACTGTAGCAAGGCAGATTTAGATTAGGAATAATTGCTCAATGGTAAAGCTAGAGAAACACTGAAATAAATTGTCTGGGAAATTATCGTGTATTTAAATGCATGCTAGAAAATTGTTCTGAAACAATAGGAAAAGATTGGGCTTTTCTGGAAATGGAGTCTGGAGACTTCTGGAGGTCCTTTCCAGCCCCATTAAATATTTATTCTTACTTCCAATACACTCCATTAAATATGGTTAGCCTGAATGTGTGATCATACTTTATGGTTTTCAGGATGCCTGTATTCTCATGATCTCTTGTTTATACACTTTTGTGCATGGGCCAAAAAAACATCTCATGTTGAAAACATCACATATTCCTTTTGAGTACATATTATAGCTTGACTTTGCAAACTAATTGAAATACAATGTTTCAGCATTGCTTTTTTCCTTCTGAATTATTTCAATACGCCTTTTAAAATGAAAAAGACATCTGTGTTATCTGCATCTTGGTTACCTATTCTGTAATGATTTGGAGGGCTTGAACTCTGAGCTTCTAACATTGTGTTCCAAGTTGCAGCCACCTGTAATCGACTTCACAGGAGCCGTGGTGAAGCTTCTTCATAAGATCTATTTCTGCCTAATGTTTGAGTTTTGGAGGAGACTATGTGAGTTAGTTTTGAAACTTTTTTCCTCATGCAGGAGCACTAGCAGAGGATGTGAGTGGGTCATAAGGAACAGTCACAGCCAGGAATACAGCCTGGCTAGAGGGTTACAAGGTAGATGGGATTTGTCCTTTTCATCCTACTTGCATCTCTGTTCTGGATCTGACTGTCCCAAAGAGGTCTGCAATATGCAAGGATTTAGGAGTGGGACATGAGGGTGACAAAGGGACTTTTATTTTGCTATCTGAATTCTTGGCCAAGTGCCCTCAGATTTTCAGCTGGGGAAGCAGAGCGTCTTTGGTTCCTACTTTTCAGGGCAAGATGCACTATGGCTGCAAAGAGTGGAAAGGTGAGAACATGTCAAAGTTAAAATTACAGGAATATTTTATAGCCAGCCTAAATATAGGTTTGTATTCCTTTTGTTCTAGGCTGCAATGATGCTGAAAACTAGCACTTCTATCCTGGGTCTTAACTGCTCCAGGATGTGTGAGCACGTGTGTCTGTGCACAGCACCCAGGAGAACCCCGCTCCTCCAGGGCCCCTGGGCACTACATTGATACAGTCTGGGCTGGAAATTAGTTCGCTGAATGACACAGCAGTTGCAAGGGGCAAGTTCTGCTCTTAATTAGTCTGGCCCACCATCTCAGCACCGATTTGTTCTAGCATTTCCCTGGCTGCTGATGAGCTGCTAGCCAAACAATCACAAAACAAGTGTTTCAGTGCCAGTCACTACACCATAAAATAAGACATAGTCTCAAAGGGCACCTTTAATGTTCTTGAACTGCATTAAATATACAATTTGGGTAATGTGATGAATAAGTATTTGGAGTTGAATTTAGTTTAATTCTAGCTCTTAAATCCATGAGTGTTTTTTTCCCACACTATTAACTTGCAAGAAAAAAAAAAATCAAGACAGACCTAATGATTTCAATTAGCGTCTTATATTTTTGCAATTTTTTAGGAAAAAAAATCCTTTACATTTCTACAGAAATGTTTTAAGGTTAATAGATTACCTCCGAACCCCAAGGAAATCAGGCTTCCTGTGCCTGCCTGTCATTTACTGGAGTGGTTACTTATCTGTCAATATTTCTTCTGTTTTTTCAAGTCCCAGGCCTACTTGATCTTGTCCATTTGGCACTGCTGGAGGAATAACAAGTTTCTTCCCGTCATGCACCATTCTGGGATACATCATGACAGAGAAATCTCAAAGCCCAGGTCAATTATAACAGAAGATGTGTAGCACCTCTGCCCCCACAGCGTCTTCTGGGGATCCACTTGGCAAAATGATATAAAACTATTTCCGAAGACTTCCCATGATCTTGCACTACTTGGAACTAAGTCCCCAGCAAAATGTAAGGAAATCTGCATATCCACTGCTCTCGCCTTCCTGCCTGTTTAGCAAAGAGTCAACTATCATGTGTGGGGAGGGCGACGGAGGGGGCTGGAGCTGGCAGATTCCTCACCCTACGGTAATTACTTTTTAATTAGAATTCATTGAATACAGATGGATTCTTTCCGTACTTTCTCCCTCTGATGATTTTAATATTCCCCTGTCAGGGATTATAGGCAGTAGCTGACAGTGAGTTACACCAAGTAATCCTATAGCTGGTATGAACTTAAATAAAGTAACCAACTTAACCATTTGTCTTGGATAAAATACGATCGCCGTCCTCACATCTTTCTGCAGAGTCTGTCAGCAGCTTGTTGATGTAGTGTTTGTTTACTCTCGTTCCTGCAGGAGGAAATATCATAGTTCATGTATCAAATTACTGTAACTGGAGCAGTTTTATTTAAAATAACATTCAGTGATATATTTTCATAGTGTCATTGATTGATTTTGAGAACTTCTAATTTTTACAAGTATATAATCTGAATATCATTTATCCAAACGTGCAGCTGTAAAACCTATGGTAACAGCTGATCTCATTATAAAAATCAGCACTTAAGAATAGAGCAGAGTAACTAAATCTGAAAGTGACTGGATATTTGGAGTATTTTGATAGAAATAAGAAAGATTTTTTTTTTCTTTTTGCTGCAGGGCCTCTAAACACAATCTGACATATGATGTATTTTTGAAGTCAAAGTTAATAATTCTCTTTACATAAAAAATAAATACTCCCTATTGAATACACACTCTAAAATTAGAATTGCATATTTCTAAGTAATATACCTAAGGAAAGTGATTTATTCTAATGCAATAATGGCATAGATTTACAAAGCTTGAGTGATACAATGTTTCTCGTTATGGTTGTAAAATATTTGTTGCCACTGTGGGATTTTCTAGATCATTATTTTAAAAAAGGAAAAACCCACTTTGACAGATGAACTGGGGCCATTCTGAGCAAATCACAGATACTTCATATAACAAGGCCTCCAAAGAGGGGAGCACAGACTTATTACTATGGCAACCCAGATCAAAACACTATTTTAGTGGAGAGTTTCCAGTTTTACAATGCAATGATGATTGTTTATAGTACCATTGAAACCAGATTCAGCAAAGGTTCAAGAAATGAGCTGACAAGAGGAAAATCATTATAGATAAACTGGGGATACTAGACTGACATATTGTGGAATCTGCTATTATTTGATCAAATGATGAAATTGTTACACAAAGATAGATAAACAATGGTAGATGATACAGTCTGATGGGCTTTATTTTGTTAG